TACTTTCCTTGCTAGTTTTATCATTACTACTACTACTACTACTACTACTACTACTACTGCTACTACTACTACTACTACTACTACTACTACTATTACTACTGCTACTACGACAACTACTACTACAACTACTACTACTACTACTACTACTACTACAGCAACAACATCTACTACTACTACTACTACTACTACTACTACTACTACTACTACTACTACGACTACTACTGCTACTACCACTACTACCACAACTACCACTGTTACTTTTATTAGTATTAATACTACTACTACTACTACTACTACTACTATTATTACGACTACTTCTCGTATTACAATTATTACTACTACTACTACTACAACAACTACTACTACTACTACTACTACGACTGGTACTGCTACTGCTACTACGACTACGACTACTACTGTTACAGGCACTACTACTACTCCTCCTCCTCCTTGAACTCGCGCGGAAAGTAAACTCCATCTCATATATTTTGTGGGGGTTGGGGGGTAAGAGCGACGTCTAAACTCACGCGGGTAGTGAACTCCTCTTGGTATTTTTTGTGGACGTTCGCGGTGAGCGGTGACTGAGGTTGCGCGGATCGTGAATTCAATTTGGTATCCTTTGTGGACGTTCGGGGTGAGCGGCACGTCGGAATGCGCGTGGATCGCGGACTTCATTTGGTTATTTTTGCGGGCGTTCGGAGTCAGCGGTGCGTCTGAACTTGCGCGGTTAGCGAAGTCCACCTGGCACCCCCTATGGACGTTCGGGGAGAGCGTCTACGCGACATGCGAGGTTGATGTTGGCGCACGTTCTTGCTGAGCTCTTGGATTTCGCGCGCTTCCCGTCCACGTCAAGAAAGGTTCCAAGTAATTGGCTCGAAGCGCGACCCATCGCGCTCAGAACGCCCTCTCGGGCTCGCGGTCGTCGGGAGACGCATTGCCTTGAGCCAAATAGCTATGGGCGCGTGTGCATGTGTGCGCGCGTGCGTGCGTGCGCTTGCGCTTGCGCTTGCGCTTGCGCTTGCGCTCGCGCTTGCGCTTGCGCGTGCGCTTGCGCGTGCGCTTGCGCGCGCGTGCGTGCGTGCGCCGGTGCGTGCGTCAGTGCGTGCGTGCGTGCGTGCGTGCGTGCGTGCGTGCGTTCGTGTGGGTGTGTGGGTTTGCCGGTGCGTGTGCGTGTGCGTGTGCGTGTGCGCGTGCGTGTGCGTGTGCGCGCGCGTGCGCGTGCCCGTGCGCGTGCGCGCGCGCGTGCGCGTGCGCGTGCGCGCGCGTGTGCCGCACACACACGCGCACGCGCACACACACACACACACACACGCACACGCACACGCACACGCACACGCACACGCACACGCACACGCACACGCACACGCACACGCACACGCACACGCACACGCACACGCACACGCACACGCACACGCACACGCACACGCACACGCACACGCACACGCACACGCACACGCACACGCACACGCACACGCACACGCACACGCACACGCACACGCACACGCACACGCACACACACACACGCACGAACGTACGCGCATACGCTACGCTACGCTACGCTACGCACGCACGCACGCCCGCCCGCCCGCCCCGCCCCACACACACGCACACACAGACACCCACACACATTCACATACACATTCACACACTTTCATGTACATGCACCCCACACGCATACACACATACACATATAAACACATAAACACACATGCATACACGTACACATACATACACATACATACACATACGCACATACCCTCATACACACATACACACATACACACACATACATACACTCATACACACATCACACACATACACACATCACACATACACACGTATACATACACATACACACATACACAAACACACACACACACATACACATACACACATACACATACACACATACACACATACACATGCACACATACACACATGCATGCAAGCATGCATACATCAACATATACATAACTGTAGACATACACATACACACATACACATACACACATACGCACACATGCCTAAACACACATACACACATACATACACACATACAGATACGCATGCACATGCACAAACACAAACACATGTACACAAACACATACACACACTTACGCACATGCACACGCACACGTAAACGCACACGCGCACGCACGCACACACACACACACGCATTCATTCACACTTGCACACACAAACATGCACGCACGCAGGCACGACCGGGCCCACGCGCGCACGCACGCACGCGCGCACGACCCCGCACAGACGCCCACACACAGACACACACACACACAGACACACACAGACACACACACAGACACACACATTCACACACACACACACGCTTACACATACACACGCCACACACATACACACATACACACAGACACACATACACAAATACACACCTATACACGTATGCACATCTGCACATACACATACACACACGCATACATGCATACATCCATACATGCATGCACACATACATCCATCCATCCATCCATCCATCCATACATACATACATACGTACACACATACATACACACATACACACAAACACACATACATACATACATACATACATACATACATACATACATACATACATACACACATACATACATACATACATACATACAGACAGACAGACAGACAGACAGACAGACATACATACATACATACATACATACATACATACGTACAAGCCTACACACATGCGCATACACCCATACACACCCGTACACATGCGCATGCACATGCACAAGCACATACGCAGGCCGCTGCTGTCGCATCGCACGCAGCGATCGGCAGGCCGCGCGCCAAAGACCACCGCGTCGAGTTGCAGGAGGAGGAGGAGGAGGAGGAGGAGGAGGAGGAGGAGGAGAAGGGCGAAGTGCGAAGAGGAGGAGGAGGAGAAGGAGGAGGAGGAGGAGGAGGAGGAGGAGGAGGAGGAGGAGGAGGGGAAAACACACAGGAGGAAAAGGTACCCATACCTCGACCCTCCCCTCGTTTCCCCTCTTTTTGGGCCTCCTCGGAGGCCCTCGTCGCCACCGTTGGGTTCGCTGCGAAGTTCCGGTCGGAGCGCACCCCGGGGGAGGTCCCGGGAGTGGCGGTATCGGTGCCTTTCGGTTTCCCCCGGAGATTTCCCTGGCCTGGGGTCACCCTGGCGTGCAGCAGAATAGTGGCAGACTCTTAGTATTTGGAGGGCCGAACTGGTGACCGCCAGAGATGGCGAAGAGCAGTTCCTGTCCATCTTGCGCCGCGTACGTTACCAATCTGGTGCACACATCGCTCGCCCAACAGCGGCCGCCGTCGGTTCTGGACAACGTTCGCTGTTGGGTATCGTCTCCATGTGTCCGTCCCCAATGTGGGCGCGCCAATAAGCGAGGTCAACGCATGGGTACCCAGGGTGTCCCATGTCGCCCGCACATTGTTCGAGCCCTGGAAGCAAGCCAGGACATGGCAGACCAGGGTTTTGCTGGATACAGCGGCAGAAGACGAAGGGGGGGGAGTGGTTCGACCCAAGGCTGCTCCAGATGCGCGAATCGCCTGGTGTATAAGTTCCTCCTTTACGCGGCCCAGACATTGTGGACAGGACGAGTGAAACGCTTGTCGCGCTTCTCATTTTGCCTCTCCCTTTGGCGGTGGGCCGACCCCTGGGTTGTACTCTCAGGCGCCCACCTCTGTTCACCATCACACAGTCTTGTCAGTCATGTTTTTTCAGGACGAGCCTTCCACAACCTCAATCAGGATGCTCTCATATGACTAGAGGTGCCGAGCAAAGCTAAACGCAAGCTCAAGGTGACACGATGGGTAACATCCATGTAGCCGAGCAGCAGGTGTGAAGCGAGACGAGCGCATGCTGCAGTCAAGCCGGGATCAGCCGATAAGCTAAGACAGTATACAAGCCACATCAACACTGAATGCGTTGAGTCGTAAGTCAACCGCGAACAGAGTACAACACATATCCAGCATGTAAAGGGACCGCAGCTTCTGACTCGTGCAAGTAGTTAAGTGTGAGCTCCACAGCAAGCTGAAGGCAAGCGAACAGAAGTGTTGGATCGGGCCCGTGCACGCTCGATGCGAGAAAAAGGCAAAGGGGGGCCAGCCTGGCAAGATAACGGCAAACTCAATGAAGTAAGCGGCGAGTGGAAATCTAGCTAATCAGTTTGGTTCTTTTCAAATATGCCCAGTGCGTCTTTTTTTCACCGTTTTTAATTCGGCGTGTTGGAAATCAGTTTTTGGTTTAAAAAGAGTATCGCGGTCCCAGCAAGACAACTACCAACGCCAGACAACGATTCATGTTGTTGGCGTTTTCAGCTACATTTCGGCGTTGTCAGATCAGTTGATTGCACTGCTCATTCTCGCCGTCTACGACGTCCTCAGTTCCTTCTCCTGGCGTGCAGCCCTCCCTATATTTCTAGTATCGTGCTTACTGTTCCTGTTGCGCTTCTCTTTCCCTCGCTGCTTGCTGGGGTGTCGGGCCTCCGGTCCCGATGGCCGATTTCCCTTCCTGCGTGCCGTCGGGCCTCTGGGTTTGTCTCGGGCCAGCGTTAGACCTGTGTTAGATAGTTTTTTTGGGGGGCGTTTTTAGTTTAGAGAGGTAGGACGGCGGTAGAAGCGAAAAGTCAGGAGCGAAGACAGCAGGGAGACAATGAACAGCCTCCGACCAGAAATCAAGCAAGTTAAAAAATGAGGTTCAACAGCGACGGGTCTAAAACGCTAAAACACCGGAGCTAAACACGCTAAAACACCGTCGCGTTTGTTTACAGCGCTTCTAGCTAGTGAAGAGCCCAAAGTTCGAGACGGTAGAACAGCAGGGCGTTTTTTTAGAAGAACCTACCTAATCATACGCTAAACGAACATGACGCAACACCAGATGTAACTCCGACTAAGTCAACGCGCCTCACCTTGTGGATGGAGTGTATCCTCATTTTTATGCTCTTTCTCCGCGTCCGTTCTGGTGCAGGCCATTTTGGCTAGAGTTCGTCTCTTTCGGGCGCATTGCGCTCAGGTGCGGCCAACCACGAAGGGTGCGTGGTGGGCCGAGCCCTCCTGAGCGAGGTCCCCATGGCGGAGTCGCCGGTGCCCGTAGAGAACGGCGATGCGGTCAGTGAAGCAGGGGCCGGGGAGGCGCCTCTGGGTACGCTGACCGCGCTCATCCGCGAGGCCGTGCAGCAGCGGCGCAGGTCGCTCGTGCTGCAGGAGGACGTGGTCAGCCCCGACGAGGTCGTGGTGCTCCCGCGGGAGTTCTCCATCGCGGGCGACCCCGGCAGGGCGGCGCCGGTGCGCCTGGTGTGCAGGTGCCTGCGGGTCGCCTTCCCGGTGGAGAGGCGCTGTCGCAGCAAGGGCCCGGGCGCCTGTGCGGCCCTGCGCCGCGTGCGGCTCGAGGGCGGCGGCGGCGGCGCCCCCGCCCTGCGCGTGGAGCGGGGGGGCCGCGCCCTGCTCGAGGACTGCCAGGTGCAGTCCGCGTCCGTGGGCGTGGAGTTGCTGGGCCCGGGGAGCTCCGCGCTGCTGCTGCGCACCAGCGTGGTGGCGGCCGAGGAGGGCGTGCTGGGCCGGGCCGGGGCGCGGGTGGTCCTGCGGCAGAGCCGCGTGACGGAGTGCGGGGCAGACGGCCTGTCGCTGGAGGCGCCGCGCGGGGCCTGGGTGCTCGACAGCTACCTGGCGGGGAACGTCTGCAACGGCGTGCTCCTGATTCTGGGCCAGGGCCAGGCGGCAGGCAGAGGGAGGCCCGCGCCGCTGGTCTTCTGCGGCAACTCGCTGCAGCAGAACTCGCAGTACGGCGTCTGCCTCGAGCAGGGCGGCCGCCAGGTCAGGTGGTGCCGCAACTTCTCGGAGGGCAACGGCCTCGGAGAGAAGGGCGGCTCGGGGGCGCTGGACGGTTTCGAGGAGGGCAGGTGGCTCGGGCCCGGGGACGAGTGCCTGGCGTGGATGGAGAAGCGCGCCGCGTGGGTGAAGGCCGTCGCCTGCGGCGAGTGGGGCGCGTCCGTGCGCGTCCGGGTGGAGAGACCCGGCAAGAGGCGCGCGGACGGCTCGCAGGCCCACGAGGAGGTCGACGTGCCCCCCCAGGCGCTGCGGCCCCCGCGCTACACGGAGGCCCACCTGCCGCCCGCTTGGTCGAAGCGGGGGCCGCGGCGGGCGCGCAGCGCCCTGGAGCACTTCCTGGAGGCCCAGGGCCTCAGCAAGGGGGACCCCGAGGCCCGCGCCAGGTTCGAGGCCGCGGAGGAGGCCACCAGGGAGGCCGCGAGGGAGGCGCAGCGGCGGGACAGGGCGCGCTTCGACGCGGACGCCTCCGCGATCAGCCGGGCGCGCAGCCGCGAGGCCGCGCTGGCAAAGGCCGGCGCCGCGCCTGGCGCGGCGCCTCCGGAGCTGGCCGCGGCGCCGGCGAGGTGCGCGGTGGCGCCGCTGCCACGCAGCGTGTCGGACCTGCTGGGCCGGCGGGTCAGGCTCCGAAGGGGCTCGCTCATCGTCCATCGGGGGTGGACGGAGGGCCCCCACCCTGACACGTCGATTAGTGAATTGTCAGTTTTCGGTTCTCGAGAGGGCGCCGCGGCCGTCATTTTCCAGGCTTGCGCCCGCCAGGTTTGGGCCCGAGGTCGTTTTCACCTAACCACGTTTTACTAAAGGGGGTTCTGTCCATCCCCGAGTCTAGCCGATGCCCATCCCCACCGAGCCAATGGTATCTCAGGCCCACCAGCCCACCCCCGAGGCGGGGATAGGTCCAGAGCGAAGCCCGAAGGGCACACACATATATATATATATATACATACATATAGCCTTAATACATGAATATCAATGGTATTAAAAGGTTTAAATTCATGAAATATGTCCCAGCATTTTTCAATTTATATTGTCTGTTTTTTTTATGTTTGTTTGGCAAAGTCGGCCAGTGGGGCCAAGGCCATGCCAGGAGCTGGGGCTCGGGTTAATCGACGCTCAGGGCATCGGATTTTATAGTTTTTTTCCCAGCCCGGACGTTTCCGGACGTTCTCCTCGATTTCGGCCCCTGGGACCCGTCCTGGGGCCCTGGGGCAGTCAAGCATGGATCCAGGCCGAGCAACGAAGGGCTCCGCAGAGGGGGGCAGTCTTGACCCCCCCCCCGACGACCTCCACCGCACTGGCGAGAGTCAGGGCGGAGGTTTTTCGCTTCGGCCCCTCGGGGGGGGGGGCCCTCGCAGGGTTCCCCAGGAATGAAACACGACGACGCAGTCTGAAGCGCTGGAACCGTCAGAGCAGGATGCAGGATCCGCACGGGGCATCCGACACTCGAAGAGAGCAAAACGGCATACACACAAACACGTTTGGAACTCCGCACGTTTGTGTGTGTATATATCCGTCATGGATGTCCTCTGCCGCCAGCCCCCCCTCTCTATCATAATGGAGGATGTCGGGCTCTGTGCTGGGACGTGGTGCCGGCGCCGTTTCAAACACTTCTCCGAACATCTTGCGAGGTGATCGTTTTTTATTCGTTGTTTTTCCGATCGGCGCGGGCCCTTCCCCCCCCCCCGGCCCCCCCCCCCCACGGAGTAGATCTTGGCTGTTGTTGGCGCCTGTTTCAGGCAGGTGGAGCCTCCGCCCATCCGACGCACTGCCGCAAACAGTCGCAGTAAGCAGAGGTCTGGAGCCAGACCCCCCTCCCCCCCTCCCCCTCCGCCCAACGTCGACACGCCGCACAAGAAAACGCTCACGAGGCTGACCGGCATTCAGCAAGCGCCTTCAGGTGTTGTGCGTGTATGTATGTATCCGTCTGGGATGTACCGTCTGCCGCCAGCCCCCCCCCCTCTTTATGAGAATGGAGGATGTCGGGCTCTGTATGCTGGGACGTGCCGGCGCTGTCTCAGATACTTCTCCGAGCATCCCGCGAGGCTGAGCGGCACTCAGCAAGCGCCTGCAGGTGTTGGAACGGTTGCTGCGGAACGGTCTGTCTCCTGCTCGGACCTCCGATCCGGAGTGGTGTGCAGGGGAGCGCGGCCTCGGGAGCGCGAGCCGGGTGCCATTCTGCTCGGGTGGTCGTGCCCTCGGGCGCGCGAGGGTCTGGCGGTTCTGGCCTCGGGCGCGCGCGAGCATCTGGTGCAATCTGCAGAGCTGGATTCTGGCCTCGGGGGCGCGAGCCTGGAATAATCTGTGAGGGATTCTGGCCTCGGGAGAGCGCGCGACTCGAGCTCAGGGCGATGTCGAAGGGATTCTCTGGCTCGGGGAGTGCGGGCTGGGCGTAGCTTACAATACACAAAAGGATTCTGGCCCCGGGAGCGCGAGCCTGGCGTCATTCATGAGGGATTCTGGCCTCGGGAGCGCGAACTTGGCAGAACTTGTCATAGAAGCAGGTCTCGGGAGGAGCTCAATCGGGTATTGCCAGGGCCCTAGTTAAGGGGACCCGGTTAGTGGTAGGGCCCCGGATCCCCTAAATTGGCCAGTATCAGTGAACCAGGTCTGCCGTAGCTGGTGTTTTTTTGGGTGGCGGCAGTTCCGGTTAGTGGTTAGTGGAACGGGGTGGGGGGGCGTCCCCCAGTACACATCATTAAACCAGGTCCCATTAAGCCCAACTCAAGTCCGACTTAAGTCTGGTGTACTTCCAGTTCCGACTCAAGTCCAACTCAAGTCCGACTCAAGTCCGACTCAAACCCAACTCAAGTCCGACTCAATCCCCCAGTTCTGCCAACGCCCGACTCAAGTCTGGTGTACTTAATTGGGGAACCTGGCCTCGGGAGCGCGAAGCTGGCGTAATTTCAGGAGAAGTTGCCTGGTTTCGGGATCGCGAGCCTTCGGCGTAAGTTGCGCAGTAGTCTGTCCTCGGGAGCGCGAACCAGGTGTATTTTTTTGCGGAATCTGGTTTCGGGAGTGCGACTCTGGTGCAATTTGCAAAGGGTTCTCTGGCCTCGGGAGCGCGAATCTGGTGTAAGCTCTGAGGGATTTGGCACTGGATTCGCGAAGCTGATGTGTTTTCATGTGTCCTGGGGTCCCCCAGTGAATTCTGACAACCCCGAGGCTTTGGTGGTCAGTGCAGTTTTTGGCGTCCCCCCCCCGCGCGCGTCCAGTAACAGCTTGCATTCGGAAGCAGGAAGTGAGAACTATCGCAGACGCCCACGGCGAATCACCGCCGCCCCCTGCCTTTTTGGAGTCGCCTATGTGGCCGAACGTTGAGGCCAGACCTGCCAAGCTATCGGACCATGTGTTCCCCGAATCGGTTTGGAAAGCCTTCGGGGAACACGTGGGCATCTTGAAAGTCATCTTGGCCGCCTGGAAGCCATTTGGACCCTTGGAGGACGTCTTGGAGGGCTTTGGGCCGTCTTGGAGGCCATCTTGAGCGTCTTGGATGCCTCTTGAGCCGTCTTGGGGGCCTCTTGGGGCCGTCTTGGGCCTCTTGCGCGATCTTTGGGGGGACTTGGGCCGTCTCGGGCCGTCGGAAGGCAGAAAAACAACAAATGCTACAACCCTTCAAAAGCTCATGGGAAATCAATGTTTTTTGCCTTTTCGGGCCTTCCTGGAGGCCCTCTTAGAGGCCTCTTGGGCCGTCTTGGGCCATCTTAGGGCCGTCTTCGGCCGTCTTGGTGGGGCCCTGGCCCGTCCGACGCCGTCGGAAGCCGTTCGGGTGGCCTCTCTGAGCCGACTTGGGGCCCTCTTGGGGTGCTCCAGGGCCGTCTTGGAGGCCACCTTGTGCGTCTTAAAATGCCTCCTGGGCCGTCTTGGGGGCCTCTTGGGGCTGTCTTGGGGGCCTCTTGGGTCCGTTCTGGGGCCATCTTGGAGGCCTCTTGGGCGATCTTTGGGCGATCTCTGGGGGCTCTTGGGCCGTATCGGGCCGTCGGAAGGCCGAAACGAAGCAAATGTCAAAATCCTTCAAACACCTGCGGAACATCAGTGTTTTTGGCCTTTTCTGGCCTTCCTGGAGGCCCTCTTGGAGGCCTCTTGGGCCGTCGGCAGCTTCGAGGCAACTTCCGCCATCTTGGTGGGTGGGCTCCTGGCCCGTCTGACGCCGTCGGAAGCCGTTTGGGGAGTCTTTCTGGGACGACTTGGGGCCCTCTTGGGGTGCTCCAGGGCCGTCTTAGAGGCCATCTTGGGCGTCTTGGAGGCCTCTTGGGCCGTCTTTGTGCCCTCGTGGGGCCGTCTTGGGGGCCTCTTGGGCAGTCCTGAGGCCATCTTGGAGGCCTCTTGGGCGCTGTGGGGGCGATCTTGGGGGCCTCTTGGGCCGTCTTGGGTCGTCGGAAAACCGAGAAGAAGCGAATGCCCAACTCCTTAACCACCTAAGAACAATCAATGATTTGGGCCTCTTCGGGCCCTCCTGGAAGACCTCTTGGAGGCCTCTTGGGCCGTCTTGGAGGCCTCTGGGGAGCCTCTTGGGCCGTCTTGGGCCATCTTGGGCGAACTTGGAGGCCATGGAACATCTTGGAGGCCATCTTGGGCCAACATGTCCATCTTGGAGGCCATCTTGAGCCGTCTTGGAGGATTTTGTGGGGAGGCTGAGGTGGTTTGCGCGGCCTTCTGGGACCCCGGCGGAACGGGCCGAAGCCCCATGAATCGACAGGGGGCGGCGGATCGAAGACGCCTACGGCGAATCACCGCCGCCCCTTGCCTTTTTGGAGTCGTCTATGTGGCCGAACGTTGAGGCCAGACCTGCCAAGCTAACGGACCATGTGTTCCCCGAATCGGTTTGGAAAGCCTTCGGGGAACACGTGGGCATCTTGAAGGTCATCTTGGCCGCCTGGAGGCCATTTTGACCCTTGCGGGCCTTCTTGGAGGACGTCTTGGAGGGCTCTTGGGCCGTCTTGGAGGCCATCTTGGGGCCGTCTTGGGGGCCTCTTGGGCCGTCTTGGGGGCCTCTTGGGGCCGTCTTGGGCCTCTTGGGCGAGCTTTTAGGGGCACTTGGGCTGTCTCGGGCCGTCGGAAGGTAGAAAAAAAAAGCAAATGCTACAACCCTGCAGAAGCTCATGGGAAATCAATGATTTTTGTCTTTTCGGGTCTTCCTGGAGGCCCTCTTGGAGGCCTCGTGGGCCGTCTTGGGCCATCTTAGGGCCATCTTCGGCCGTTTTGGTGGGCCCCTGGCCCGTCCGACGCCGTCGAAAGCCGTTCGGGGGGCCTCTCTGAGCCGACTTGGGGCCCTCTTGGGGTGCTCCAGGGCCGTCTTGGAGGCCACCTTGTGCGTCTTAAAATGCCTCCTGGGCCGTCTTGGGGGCCTCTTGGGGCCGTCTTGGGGGCCTCTAGGGCCGTTCTGGGGCTATCTTGGAGGCCTCTTGAGCGATCTTTGGGCGGTCTTTGTGGGCTCTTGGGCCGTATCGGGCCGTCGGAAGGCCGAAACGAAGCAAATGTCAAAATCCTTCAAACACCTGCGGAACATCAGTGTTTTTGGCCTTTTCTGGCCTTCCTGGAGGCCCTCTTGGAGGCCTCTTGGGCCGTCGGCAGCTTCGAGGCAACTTCCGCCATCTTGGTGGGCTCCTGGCCCGTCTGACGCCGTCGGAAGCCGTGTGGGGAGCCTTTCTGAGCCGACTTGGGGCCCTCTTGGGGTGCTCCAGGGCCGTCTTAGAGGCCATCTTGGGCGTCTTGGAGGCCTCTTGGGCCGTCTTTGTGCCCTCTTGGGGCCGTCTTGGGGGCCTCTTGGGCAGTCCTGAGGCCATCTTGGAGGGCGCTGCGGGGGCGATCTTGGGGGCCTCTTGGGCCGTCTTGGGTCGTCGGAAGGCCGAGAAGAAGCGAATGCCAAAATCCTTCAAACACCTAAGGAAAATCAATGATTTGGGCCTCTTCGGGCCCTCCTGGAGGACCTCTTGGAGGCCTCTTGGGCCGTCTTGGACCATCTTGGGCGAACTTGGAGGCCATGGACCATCTTGGAGGCTATCTTGGGCCAACATGGCCATCTTGGAGGCCATCTTGAGCCGTCTTGGAGGATTTTGTGGGGAGGCTGAGGTGGTTTACGCGGCCTTCCGGGACCCCAGCGGAATGGGCAGAAGCCCCAGGGGGAGTTCTTTTGGAAAGGAACCGAAACCGATAGGATCTAGCACGCCAGGCACCCCTGCGATGAATCGACAGGGGGCGGCGGATCGAAGACGCCTACGGCGAATCACCGCCGCCCCCTGCCTTTTTGGAAGCGCCTATGTGGCCGAACGTTGAGGCCAGACCTGCCAAGCTATCGGACCATGTGTTCCCCGAATCGGTTTGGAAAGCCTTCGGGGAACACGTGGGCATCTTGAAGGTCATCTTGGCCGTCTGGAGGCCATTTTGACCCTTTCGGGCCTTCTTGGAGGACGTCTTGAAGGGCTCTTGGGCCGTCTTGGAGGCCATCTTGAGCGTCTTGGAGACCTCTTGGGCCGTCTTGGGGTCCTCTTGGGGCCGTGTCTTGGGCCTCTTGGGCGATCTTTTGGGGGGACTTGGGCCGTCTCGGGCCGTCGGAAGGCAGAAACAAGGCAAATGCCACAATCCTTCAAAAACCAATGGGAAAGCAATGATTTTGGCCTTTTCGGGCCTTCCTGGAGGCACTCTTGGAGGCCTCTTGAGCCGTCTTGGCCATCTAAGGGCCATGTTCCGCCGTCTTGGTGGGCTCCTGGTCCGTCTGACGCCGTCGGAAGCCGTTTCGGGGGCCTCTCTGAGCCGACTTGGGGCCCTCTTTGAATGCTCCAGGGCCATCTTGGAGGCCATCTTGGGCGTCTTAAAGGCCTCCTGTGCCGTCTTGGGGGCCTCTTGGGGCCGTCTTGGGGCCCTCTTGGGCCGTTCTGGGGCCATCTTAGAGGCCTCTTGGGCGATCTTTCGGCGATCTTTGGGGGCTCTTGGGCCGTCTCGGGCAGTCGGAAGGGCCGAAAAGAAGCAAATGCCAAAATTCGTCAAAAACCTTAGGAACATCAATGTTTTTGGCCTCTTCTGGCCTTCTGGAGGCCCTCTTGGGGGCCTCTTGGGCCGTCTTGGGCCAGCTTCGAGCCAACTTCGGCCATCTTGGTGGGTTCCTGGCACGTCTGACGCCGTCGGGGGCCGTCTTGGGGGCCTTTCGGGGCCGACTTGGGGCCCTCTTCGGGCGCTTCGGGGCCGTCTTGGAGGCCATCTTGGGCGTCTTGGAGGCCATCTTGGGCGTGTTGGAGGCCTCTTGGGCCGTCTTGGGGCCCTCTTGGGGCCGTCTTGGAGGCCACTCGGGCCGTCATTGGGCCCTCTTGGGGGCCTCTTGGGCGATCTTGGGGGTCTCTTGGGGTGGCTTGGGCGGTCGGAAAGCCGAAAAGGCCCACATGCCCAAATCATTAAAACACCAAAGGAAAATTAATAATTGTTGCCTCTTCGGGCTTTCCTGTTGGACCTCTTGGAGGCCTCTTGGGCCGTTTTGGAGGCCTCTTGGGCCGTATGGGGCCATGTTGAGGCTATCTTAGGCCGTGCTGAGTGCATCTTGGCTCGTCTTGGAGGCATCTTGGAGCCATCTTCGCCGTCTTGGAGGCCGTGTTGGCCGTCTTGGATGCATCTTGGAGACCATTTTGGGCCGTCTTGGAGCCATCTGGAGCAGGGAAAACCTTTGCAACGAGGTTTTGAGATCCTTCCCGGGACCCCGGCGGGACGGGCCGAAGCCCAAGGGAGAGTCCGCCGCCCGCTCTTGCTTTAGCAAAGGGGTGCCTGGCGTGCCGAACTATATGGGTTTTGGTTTTGGTTCTTTTTCCAAAAGAACTCCCCCTGGGGCTTCGCCCCGTCCCGCCGGCCTCCCGGAAAGGATCTCAAAACCTCGTTGCAAAGGTTTTCCCTGCTCCAGATGGCTCCAAGACGGCCCAAGATGGTCTCCAAGATGCATCCAAGACGGCCAGGATGGCCTCCAAGACGAAGATGGCTCCAAGATGCCTCCCAGACGAGTCAAGATTCATCCAAGACGGCCTAAGATAGCCTCAAGATGGCCCCAGACGGCCGAGAAGTCCTCCAAGAACGCCCACGACGCGTCGAAGAGGTCCTCCAGGAAGACCCGAAGAGGCCAAAATCATTGAATTGTAAGAAAAAATGATTTTGGCATGTGCGCCTCTTCGGCTTTCCGACGGCCCAAGACGGCCCAAGAGGTCCCCAAGATCGGCGCAACATCGTCCCAGAGGCCTCCAAGATGGCCCCATGACGGCCCGAGAGGCCCCCAAGACGGCCCCAAGGATTGTGGCATTTGCTTTTTTTTCGGCCTTTCGACGGCCCGAGACGACCCACGTACCCCCAAAGATCGCGCAAGAGGCCCAAGACACCCCAAGAGGACCCCAAGACGGCCCAAGAGGTCTCCAAGACGCTCAAGATGGCCTCCAAGACGGCCCAAGAGCCCTCCAAGACGTCCTCCAAGAAGGCCCGAAAGGATCAAAATGGCCTCCAGGCGGCCACGAGGACCTTCAAGATGCCCACGTGTTCCTCGAAGGCTTTCCAAACCGACTCGGGGAACACATGGTCCGATAGCTTGGCAGGTCTGGCCTCAACGTTCGGCCGCATAGGCGACTCCAAAAAGGCAGGGGGCGGCAGTGATTCGCCGTAGGCGTCTTTGGGGTATTTTTGGGGTATTTTCAATTTTTCGTCGAAAATCCCCCTGTAGGGGGACAGGCCCGACTTAAGATTAAGGGGGTGTGGATTAGCGTCCATGGGAAATCGCGCATTTCCGCCGCCGAGCGAGGCGGCACCGGCCGCACTTTGGGGAGGCGATCCATGGATTCGGCGCCCGCGCGCACTTTGGAGAGGGCTCTTTTCTTCCCCCCCCCCCTCGAGGTCACCCCCCATGTACCACCCGCTCGACTCTCGTCGGCTGACGCTGCGGAGCCCAGCGCCTGGAACAACCTCAGGGCCGGGGACCGTTCGTCGCTTTCGGCTTCCAGGGGCCCTCACCAGGACCCAGGGACCGTCGGGGGCAACGATAGGGGGGGATGGGCAAAGGGGGGGATGCATCGACCCCGAATCGCCCACTGCCCAGGAAGGTGCTGTTTTACTCTCGGGGGCCTTTCGCCGATCTATCGGCGATGTATCGCCGATTCCAGGTCGATGCATCCCCCCCTATGCTTACGATGTTCGAACCTAATTTAGCCTTGATCACCAGAAAGAATTTCGAGCACCGAAGAAGTACCGAATCTCGAGGGCTTTCACGTGTCGGGCCCTGGGAGACGCTCGTCTGACACTGTTTCGACACTCTTTCGACACTTTTCCGTGTGCTCGAAATTATTTCTGGGCTGTGGCCTTTAAGTACGATGGGAGCATCATATCCCTATGCCGATCCCCACCTATCGTTGCCCCGCAAGCCTCCCGGCTTTGGCCAGGAGGGCGTGCGCACGGGCGTGCCCAGGGGGCGGCTCCGCTGGTCAGGCGCAGCGGCGGTTTGTGCCGCCCGTCTCCCTTCGCACAGGCTTACGTCGGGCCTGTCCCTCTACAGGAGGAATGTTCAAAAGCAGTGAGAAAAAAGTCAAGGGACGATCGGTTGTCAGTTTTTGTTGACTAAGTTTTTGACTTATTGTCCCTCTTCAGGAGAAATCTCCCAAAGTAGTGAAAAAAACAGTTAGTGGATTTTTTTGTGTTACATACCAACTCTTGACTATTTGTGTTTCGTTTTGGCTTACTTTTTTAATTTGTTGTCCGACCTACGCGCAGGCGGAGGCCGCCGCCGCTCCACCCCGACGAGGGCCAGGAGGTGTCGTCCGCCGCTGCGGCGGCGCTCGCGCCCGTCGCCGCAGGCGTGCTCGCCGCTTCTGGCCAGGCCGCGGAGGCCACTTCGGAGGTGATCAATATGCGGCTGCCTGCGGAGAGTTCCGCCCTTCGTACCAGCACAATCGAATAAGGCAGAAACCATGAGAAAACAAGACGCGTAACAGTCCGAATGACAATTCAAGTATGGATACAAGTAGCAATATTAAGAGAGATGATGCAGGCACGGTATGAATCTATACCTCCAGAGCTCCGCGCGGATTTGTTGGACCGGCGCTAGAGACTCCCTGGCGCGCGGAGCGCGCCAGGGAAGGGGTCCAGCGCAGATCCAAGAAATCCGCGCGGAGCTCCGACAGCTTATGGTTATGCATCTGTTTGCCCCTTAGGTTCGCCACCGTGCCAGTGCAACACTCTGCGTGGGGACGCTATGAAGGCTGTAAGACGTGTGCCGCCCCTCGTCTCCGCTCCCTGATGTTTTTTTCCTCGTGAGGCTTGCCTGGACCGTTTTGGGGCTGCCTTGGGCTCCTGTGGGGCCGTCCAGGGGCCCTCGAGGCTGTGATGTGGTCGAGGCTGTGGTGAGCCGTGGTGCGGTCGAGGCCGATTGGAGAGGACACGCGAAGAAGCACAAGATGCGGGGCTCAAAGGTACACGCCACCACCACGTCCCTCGTCCCCTTCCTCTCCCAGGAGATAGGAGACGAAGGGAGGCACTTTCTGGGGCAGTCTTGGGGTCCTCTTTGGATCGTGCTGCTGGCGGTGTCCTTGGTGCCGTCCTTGGCCCCTCCCGGCCGCCGGAGGGGGTGGGGCCTCTTCGGGCTGTCCTGGGAGCCTTTGGGGGCCCCTCCTCCTCCTCGTCCTCCTCCTTCTCCTCCTCCTTCTCCTCGTCCTCCTCCTCCTCCTCCTCCTCCTCCTCCCTCCCTCCTCCTCCTCCTCCTCCTCCTCCTCCTCCTCCTCCTCCTCCTCCTCCTCCTCCTCCTCCTCCTCCTCCTCCCCCACCTCCTCCTCCGCCATGTTGGGGCTCTCTTGGGCTGTCCTGGGCCCCTGGTGGGCCGTCTTGGGGCTAGTGTGCTGTCCGTTTTGTTATTGTTGTTGTTGCTGTCGGGTCCTCGCTTGGACTCTGGTACTTTTCTGTCTCCTTGGAGAAACCTTCGTTGAGCCTTCTTGAGGTGAGATGGCCAGGACAAGCAGCATATTCACGCACCAGGATGTGTCCTTAGGTGTTGGATGGTTTTGGCCTCTGGCAAGGGCGCTTGACCTTCTCTGTCTCACCTTGGAAGCCTGTTGGCGCCTCTTTGGCGCTTATTGGGGCCTTCTTTGGGGCTGCTGGACCAGTCTTGAGACGATTCTGGGTCCTCTTGGCGGCCCAGGTCGCTTTCCAGGGCCGTCTTGAAAGCTCGGTGCAGCCTTGGAGGGGGGCCCCGGGGACTCAGGGCTTTGGGGCCGCCCCGGGAGCCTCGGGCAGGGGGGGATGAGGATGCACGCGGCCGAGCGCGACAGGCGAGGGGGAAAGGCCTACAGGACCCCTACCAGGCAGCACTGGGCAGCCTGCCGTGCCTCAGCGTGCCGCGGGCACGGCGGCGGATAGATTAGGCGAGCAGGCCGAGTGTGTCACCGGGCTTGGTGGTAGCTGCATGGCGTGGGCGCGCGCGCGCGCGTGCGCGCGTGCGCGCTCGGGGGAAAAAAACACGCCCTTCTCCCCCCTCGCCTCGCCCTCTCCGTTCCCGCCTCGGGCTCGCCGCTCCCCTCGCTCTGTCCTTCTCGGGTTGACCCAAAAGGGGATCCAGCGACAAGGGGGTGGTGCAATAGATTTGGTGCAATAGATTTGTGGGGTTTCAACACATGTGGGGCGTGCAATACATTCCGCGGCGCAGATGTGTTGCTGGATTCTTGCGTGCAATCCATTACTTGCAATACAATGCAATACACTTCTCCATCGCAGTACATTTGCAATACAATTGCCCCAAATCTATTGCACCACCTCCTTATAGCTGGACCCCCTTTGGGTCGCTCAAACCCTCGTCTCCCTGTCTCTGGTGCCAGGTTCCGAGGTGGGAATTTATACATGACAACCGCCTGGAGTGTCAGTTTTCGGAGCCTCGGCAGGCGGTGGATATGGACATATTCGGGCCCCCTGGGGCCAACTATTTATTTGTTTATTTATATATATATATATATATATATATATATAGATGTATCCATAGCCACCGCCCGCTGGGGCACCAGGGCGTCGATTCCCAGGCGGTGGATCTGGAGAAATCCCCGCCTCGCACAGGTATGTCCTGACCTTCATTCAGATGTTGCACGTCTCGCAGGTCAAGAAGATGCACGACTCCTACATTGGCCGTGCGGGGGGGCGGGCGGGGTGTCGAATACGATGAGGGCGGGTACCGAGGGTTTGGGATATACGGGCGCGCGGGCAGATAGGAACGAACAGTCTTAACATGACTATTACTGTTGTTGTTGCTGCTGTTGTTGGTGTTGCTGTTGGTGTTGTTGTTGTTGTTGTTGTAGTTGTAGTTGTTGTTGCTGTTGTTGCTGTTGCTGTTGCTGTTGCTGTTGTTGTTGTTGTTGTTGTTGTTGTGGTTGTTGTTGTTGTTGTTGTTATTGTTGTTGTTGTTGTTGTTGTTGTTGTTGTTGTTGTCGTTGGTGTTGCTGTTGTTGTTGTTGTTGTTGTTGTTGCTGTTGTTGTTGTTGCTGCTGCTGTTGTTGTTGTTGTTGTTGTTGTTGTTGTCGTTGGTATTGTTGTTGTCGTTGGTGTTGTCGTTGGTGTTGTTGTTGTTGTTGTTGTTGTTGTTGTTGTTGTCGTTGTTGTTGTTGTTGTTGTTGTTGTTGTTGTTGAACATTATTTATTCTAAAGAATAATTATTGTTGGGCCCCCTGGTGCGCGCCCCCCCTGCGCCGCCTAGGCCGCAGCTACATTTTCATCATTTTCGTGAGGAAGCCTCAGAAAAGAGGGTGTGTACAGGATCCGGTTGTTTTGTTGTAATCCGCTTTCCCTTGCAAAAAACAATAGAAAATGACATTTCTTGTTCTAATATAATCAAATTTCAAGAATCCCTTGCAAAAAATAAGGTAAAGTGGACATTCGCGCGCGCAAGACGAAATCCTTCCAAAACCTTAGTGTTCGCAGCGATTTTAACATAAAAACATCAAAAAACCAATGGTTTTTCAACAAAAAAATGTCAAAATCTCATCCCGCGCGCTCTTGCGGATTCGTAGGAAACCCAACACTTTTTAAACATTTCTGTCAAACGGGCTTTTGCGAGCAACTTTTTCGAACTTCTGCGACAACGGTTGCGCACCTGCCAGGGCCATCATCCCTGTCAAATAATACCATGCGGGACACATTCGTTTTTTCTTCGCGCGCGCACGCCGTCGTCGTCGGCCGCGGGGCCCTGAATAGTAGCCACGGTCGTCCGCATGCCACGAAGTGAAGTGTCCGAACGTCATAGGGCGGGAAGCTGGGTGTGGGTGGTGGCGAAGAGTCGTTTGGAAATTTGGTAGAGCTTGAACCTCCCCCCCCACAAAGTGGGGGTATTGCCCGCCTCCTATGAAAACCCTGGCACTGGTGAGAACGGAGTGTCCCCAGTCTTAAATGATTGTTGTAGTTGTTGTTGCTGTTGTCGTGGTTGTTGATTGTTGTTGGTATTCCTTTTTGCTTATTTTGTATCATGATTTTCCTGTCTACCCGCTCCGTTCGCTGCCCCCGCCTTCCAGCCAGTCCCCGTTCTCCCTCCCTCCTCCGCCTCCTGTTCGCCGATGTGGGCGCCCTGGCCCACCCCCGCCCAGGACCGTGCGGATCCGCCGTCGGGGGCCCACCGCGGCTCCGTCGGCGACGCATCGCCGATTCCAGGCCGAGGCCCCCCACCCTGAGCGGGTCCCCCCCCCTCTTTGCTGCTCTTTCCTACGGGGGGGGTTCTCGACGAAAAATAAGAAGTACCCCAGACATAGTCCACAAATCATCCAACAATGATCTGGGGACCATTTTTGGAGTATGTTTGGCCTTCTTGGGGTATTTTCAGGGGTACTTCGTGGACAATCCTCCTCCCGAGCGGGTGCTCGGCTCGCCTCCCCCTCCCTTGGGGGGGGGGATGGGGAGCACCGCTGTGGCCGGCTGCGCGCCGCGTGGCCGGCCTGGGCGGGGGCCCCTTCGTCCAGCAGTGGCAAAGCGTCCTGGCGT